GACGAAATTTTCAAGACTTTACCGTAATACAAATGCACATTTAGGCAACCAAATGAAGAACTTACTGAGACTCAAGCTGATTGGAACATTCACATTAGTTGAAGAGCAATAATCTAAATGACAAGAAGCAGCAGGTGCCTGGCACAATGTTAACACACCTAGCAGGAAATGAGATCCCAAACTAATAGAGGGAAATAATGTGGTTTAAAAGCTCTTAGTCACATTATTGTGATAGACATTCTCCTTCTGCAGCAGCCCTATATACAACCTGTGCACTGAAGATTCTTATAAATAAGACCAGGATTAAATTGCTTAAAAGATTGTGTGTTCGTGTCATACTGACAGTTGTTATGATTTAAACAGATTTATTTCTTTAACTATAGATAAAATGTACCTGTCATTAACCAAGGTGTACTAACTAGAACTATACAATCATGAATACAATTATTAATTTCCTTTCAAAGAGGTGCAATTAAACACACTCATTTCTAACCAGCCAATAACGTCAGACTGTAGTCTCTGTAAGTCTCCAGTGTGCTAGCTAGCACTCCTCACCCCTAGGGACTGCTATAGACTGCCATTACCTACCACAGACTGTAGTCTCTGTAACAGTCTCCAGTGTGCTAGCTAGCACTCCTCACCCCAGAGGACTACTGTAGACTGCCACTACCTACCACAGACTGTAGTCTCTGTAACAATCTCCAATGTGCTAGCTAGCACTCCTTACCCCTAGGGACTGCTACAGACTGCCATTACCTACCACAGACTGTAGTCTCTGTAGCAATCTCCAGTGTGCTAGCTAGCACTCCTTACCCCTAGGGACTGCTACAGACTGCCATTACCTACCACAGACTGTAGTCTCTGTAACAGTCTCCAGTGTGCTAGCTAGCACTCCTCACCCCTGAGGACTACTGTAGACTGCCACTACCTACCACAGACTGTAGTTCTGTAACAGTCTCCAGTGTGCTAGCTAGCACTCCTCACCCCTGAGGACTACTGTAGACTGCCACTACCTACCACAGACTGTAGTCTCTGTAACAGTCTCCAGTGTGCTAGCTAGCACTCCTCACCTCCGAGGACTGCTGTAGACTGCCACTACCTACCACAGACTGTAGTTCTGTAACAGTCTCCAGTGTGCTAGCTAGCACTCTTCACCCCCGAGGACTGCTGTAGACTGCCACTACCTACCACAGACTGTAGTTCTGTAACAGTCTCCAGTGTGCTAGCTAGCACTCCTCACCCCCGAGGACTGCTGTAGACTGCCACTACCTACCACAGACTGTAGTTCTGTAACAGTCTCCAGTGTGCTAGCTAGCACTCCTCATCCCCGAGGACTGCTATAGACCGCCACTACCTACCACAGCTAGGCTGTCACTGCTTACCACAGCTCTGGGAAAAGTTGAACAGTTTCCTAGCAGTCACTGCGCCACGCCCTGTTGTGACCCCAGCGCCCCCTGCTGGTGACCCTGGACTGGCCGTGAACCTGGCAGGAGATATGAGTGGGCGTTTCTTCCCCAGTGATCCCAGAATGCCGTGTGGTGTAGGGGTGGTAGAGGTGACGTGATTGGAGGAAATGACACCCTTCAAGTCAAAAGCACCTACAGAGAAGATAACAACTATGGTAATAACTCCCATCTTTTCAGCTGGGAAAATTATCAATTTGTCAAATACATTTGATTAGCATTATTAAAAATTAAATTCTATGTAGCATTTGTGGTGCTTTTATGGTATAAAATATAATTAAAAGTAGCCTGCTTTTCTATTTATTTATTTATTTATGTATTTCTTGCTATTGCTTAATGGGAATGATTTTATTAGAATTTATGACTTAAAAAAATAGTATAAGAAAAATTCACAATTTTCCCCCACTGAAAAGATCAAGTTATAACTGTACTTAACAAATTTGTCCAAACATGAAAATACAAAAGATTTAAAACTAAACTATCAGATCACCCTAGGTTTGCTAAACATAAGAACGCGCCTCATAATTTTGGGGGTGTGGGCATTTTTGTGAAAAACAGTGTGTCAGATGAATATAAACTATCGGTGGTAGATAAGTCCGTAGACGGAATCGTAAGTATAGAATTAATACATAAAATTACAGATAGAAATATTATACTTTTTAATTGCTATCTCCCTCCTGAAAACTTGCCTTATGGAAGAGATGCTGCTAATTTCTTTGCACATTTATTAGCGAAATGTTATATGTATGAGAGTTGCAACATACTTTGTCTATGCAGAGATTTAAATGCACGAATCGGTAGTATGAGAGATTTCACGACTTAGGTTGATGAGATCCAGGGGTGGGATAGTATTGATGAGAAGACAAGTTCTCACAAATCAGAGCTGATTGAATTTCTTACTGAAAGTAAGACATGCATATTAAATGGTAGGGGTGATAAGGCACATAACAATTATACTTATTTAAAGAGAGGAAAATCAGTTGTAGACTACATTATTACTCCACATGAGAATTTGTCCAAAGTTACAGACTTTAGGGTACATACGATGAGTGATTATATAGAGAGAATCACAATCTACAGAGTCTTTTAAGTGGAAGATATAAACATCCTGATCACTCAATGTTGGAAGCTACACTAAAACACGGCCATATGGATAACTTAGGTTATGATGACATGCACAATATAAACCAACACAAACAAATAAATAGTTACAGCAGTGACCGCAGAATATACAAAGTTAAAGAAGATAAAAGTGACATCTTTACATCAGATATATCAAGGCTAGCAATCAAACAGCTTATAGATAGTATCAAACTCATGAGGGAAAATCAAAATGAAGTTGACTACATGTATGAACGCGTAGTTAAAGAATTAATTCATGAAATGAATGCCACTGTTCCCTTTATTGATATAAAAAATGGCGGGAAATCAAAAAAGAAGTTGAGAATATCCAAACTATATTGGTGTGACGAATTATCGGATTTATGGAAATGAATGCAGAAATTCAATACTCTAAATCTGAAGGCCATCAATATATTAGAAATAGTCTGTTCATTGATTATAAAACAAAATTACAAGAATTTGACAAATGACTCCAGTATCATGAAAGGCGTTACAACAGGAGACTTGCATGTTAAACAGAGATGGCCTGTGTCCAAGATCATCGCAAGTTTTGGGACAACATTAAAAAAGCCGGATCTAGGGGCAAATCACAAATCCCAATGGAAACGTATAACAAAAATGGTGATGTAGTATATGATATCAATATTACTTATAAGAAATGGGAAAGTGACTTTAGAAAATTGTATAATGAAACTGACATAAATGATTTTGATGTTGAATTTCTTGAACAAAGTCTAGAATATAGAAGACATATGGAGGGTGTAATGTCTGATCCCTTGTTTAATCCTAATTACAGCATAAATGGCACTATTGAAAAACAACAGGTTAGCGCAGCAGTAGCTAAGGCAAAGCAAAAGAAAGCTACGAGAGTAGATAATATCCCCAATGAAATTTTGAAATACAAAACTATTATTGATTTACTAATGCCAATGTTCAATTTCATATTTGACACAACATTATTACCAAGTATGTGGAAAAAGGCAATTATAATACCAAAACATACAAAAATATTAAGTAATTATATAAAGCGTGCCTATACGATACGGAGAGAGTTCATTTATAACGAGTAACGTCCTAGTTTGTATATGCATTCTATTATTTATACTAATATGTAATTAATATTTTATATTTCCATAGTTACTCTTAGTTGAACGTACAGCATTGCTATTTATATGTTTATTTATACATTACTGTATTTATACGTTTCTATGTATTTTCATGTTCATTAATATATAAGAATAACATGAACATGAAACAGTGACTTATAAGACCATTGGGGCTGGGTGCAAAAAGATAAAAAATGTATCTGTATTACTTGCATTAGAGCACAGGTCACTTAAATAAATAAATAAACAAAACAGATCAGCTTAACCTTTAAATAAAATCTCAAATAATTGAATGATTTTTCTAATGGGTATTGTTGAAATAATCCTATGATGGCAATCCATGACTTGTTATCCATGTGTCATTCATCATTTCCTCATAAAAATTATACTCACACATTCTTAATAATCACTGCATGACAACATTATCAAAACGTTGAACATTCTATCTTTGGTACAGTCTAGTGCCATGTGTGGTTATTAAAAATGCTTCTGGCCACCAGAAACTAGTGTCAATTTTCAAAAGCAAATAACAGCCACCAGAAACTAGAGTCAGATTTCAAAAACAATTCTGGTAACCAAAAACTATTGTTACTAAAAAAATGATAATAAAAAAAAAGAAAAAAACAATTGTGGCAATGAAGTTGAATTGTTTATGAGGGTGACTCACTGCTTGATAATACTTCTTATATATGGCAAACAATAGTATCGCCTGTCATGATTTAGGGAGCTCATTAGATTTGTATGTCTCAGAAACACCTGAGAGAATTGGACAAATTGCAAAACAAATTTATTTTTATTATTATTTCCTCCAGATCTGATATATCAGATCTTTTAAACGTTCTAGTAAATCCAAATACTAGTGCTGCTGTTATGAAATCAGCTAAATCTCTCTTCTGTAGGGCTATGAGCATTAGCTCACCCTACCGTAAGATTTTATCACATCAATATCTCATTTTATATTCTATCACACATAAGTGAGAGAGATGCTGCTAGAAAGGCTGATCTCCTGTGGTATAAATCTAATTATAGACTCATGAAATCTGCTAGCAAAGGGTCACAGGAACCATAAGGACTAGTAGACACATCAAGTTTTCTAGTCCATAGTCCCAGATATCAAGACAGACATTCTAAGGAATACATGCTTGGGGGACTAATTTTATATCTTTTAAACTGTCTTCTATGTGCGCTGTGTTATTTTTATGTATTTCATTTTATTCCACCACATTTTAACTTATTTATTATATTCATTTTTTAAAAAAATTATCCTTTAAAGGGGGTAATATAAATAAATAAATATGGAATATTCTAACTAGAATGACCTAACTAACCCTAAAAATATTCATATTCCACCTACCCTTGCCAGTTTTTCTCCTGGATGGAGGTCCCAAACTCATGGTTTCCAACTTGCTATCAATAGGATGCCCAGACTGCAATGTCTCTCTTGTATCATTGTGATTGGGCAAATGTCTTGTCACGTGACTTGTGGTCAACATGTGATTGGATGTCTGATGTGTCATGTGACCTGATGCTCCTGTGTGATTGGATACTTGACTAACACTGTCAAAGTCCTCTGAAGATGCAGACATTCTGTCAGCGCCAGGACTAGAGTGGTGAGACAGGTCTGATATGTCTGACATAAAGCTGCTGGTTCTAGAAAAATTGGAAAAGATCGGTTTAGAGGCCCAAGAGGACAAATACTAAAAATAAGCTTTACAGGTAAGGAATAAAACATTCTTTTGAACAGATGACCATGTTTTTCAACATTGTTCAAGCATAACTCATAATAATTCCAAAACAAATAGATTCAAAACACAAACTTAGTCATGACTGGCACTATTTTTGGGTTTGTACAAAAAGATTAGGCTTACATAGGTTGCAGTTAACATAACATGCCAATTTTTGCCCTTTGAAAATTGTCTATCAAAAAATTTATGACCTAAAAATTAACAGTAGTTCCATGCTCCTTTGAAACTTGTTCAAACACTAGAACCAGCATACCTCCTGTGCCTCCCTCTAGTGAGCTGCCTTCTCTGACTTCTAGGTGTTCTATCAATTAACCAGCATAACATGCTTAACAGGGTACAGAGCAGCGCTAGCGCCACCTGTAAAATATGGCTGTCCTGGGCCTGTAAACGGGTCAGCTTTGCTGGGAGACTGGAGTGGACGAAAAGGAGTCCCAGCCACACAAAGGAGGCCACAGCATCCCACAACACTAGCCTGGAATAATAGGTCATCACATTTATCTATACATATTAAGGGATCATGCTATATAACACAAACTTTGAATCACTTGTAATGAACCAGGACCCAGTTTCATCAACACTGGACAGCACTATCCTACAGATAACACCATCCTTTGGATAAGATTGTTATCCTCTGTACAGTTATCCTAAGGACAGCCTTTTTAATCATGGAAAGCAATATCTGAGATAAAATAAGTATCTAGTATTTAGTAAACATTACTTTACCCACAGGATAATTGCCCAGAGGGTAACAATTTTATCTAATAGATACTGTTTTTCATAGTTATTCAGCGCTATCCAATGTTGATGAAACTGAGCCCATATGTTGTCATGTTCACATCATGAATATAAAGGTAGAAACAGGGACATAAACAGGAGAGAAAATATAGGTAACATCAAGCAGTATATACACTGTAAACTTGTTGTACTGAGGATGAAGTATATTACCTGGTGCTTTTTTTTTTACTTGGCGATCAGAATATACTATATATCAAGAAAATTAGATATATATACTACAACATTACATAGCTCACAGCCAAAAGTCAACATTTCAAATCACCAACTCAAGCATTTAAACCAGTATTATAAAACATTTTACTTGACTGCTTTTACTAAACTGTTATTAAAACTCAAATAAGGCTAAAACCTGAACCTCAAGATGTGAAATCAGTTTTTAAATAAAAACAATAATAATAATAAATATTATTATTATTATTATTATTATTATAAAGACAGTGCACTGTATCACATCATCCTATCTGCCCACCTATCTTTCCCAAACAGAAATGTTGCTGTTATCCCACTGAAAAATCCCAGAAACACCACTGTATATGCCAGGCTGTAGATCTGGGACAGATACTTCAGAGCACTTCTAGGTAGATATCGCTGCAGGTTGATGAGGGGAGTGTCGCTATGTTCCTGAAGACTGTGGAAGTTGATGACTAGCAGCGTGATTGCACACAGGAGGGAGGTGAGGCGTAATAGATTGATGTGAGCAGGTGGCCCCACCTTGTGGACAAAATGATCCTAAAATAAAAAGTACACTTGAGTATGCATGTTAACAGTCATTTTTCAGGTATCTTATTGTGAGGGAGATTTAGACAATGATGCTCTCTGTGGCGCACTGTTCTTCACACCAGCCTGCTTGCCCTAGACTCACATAGTCAACCATCAAAGAACCTTCCCAATTGACCAGCTACTATGTACTATTCCTGATTTATTCATGAGACAGAAAATGTCATTTTTCCAAGAGGCAGCCTAATTTCCTTTGTTTTACATATTAGATGAACATAAACAATTATCCCAAATGTGACACTTTTGCTTTATATCTATCTTAAAAAGTGTACAGACTAATATATCTCTAGTTAAATGTAACATGCAGAGAATGAAGTCTTACTGAGCAAGCAGAGGGGGAGTCAGGTGTCTTCAGGTGTTGTTTCATCATCTTTCTCTGTAGCACCTGGTCTTGCTTGTTTAATGTTTGTTTAACTTTGATGTGACAGGTCTTACACAGTTGATAGGTATGCTCCAGCTGATCTCTGTACATAGCCACCTCTGTGTCATAGTTACCCTGGCAACAGACACAGCTGGTCAATTACACTACATTACCAACACAACACAGACGGGATTACTTTGAAAATATCAATACACAAGGATATAAATGGAAAAAAACAATATAAATATTATTATCAAGGCTTAAATACAACTTAAATAATAATGAAAAATGTATCATGCCCAGCTGTCTATATATTTATTGATTTTAAAACATACTTTAGTAATACAAAATAAACATGAAATAGAAATCAGGATTATATATATATATATATATATATATATATATATATATATATATATATATATATATATATATCTTTCAAACAAATATATTTATATATTTTAAAATACTTTATCACAATCAAGTTTTTTTTCCAGAGGGGGGAAAAGAAAGAAAAGGAAATATTGCAACGCTATCAATTATCAAAACAAACAATTTTAGAAATTGCACTTGTAATTTTCACTAGCTGTCAAAATAGGTAGACCTCAAGAGATGTGGTCCAGTGAATATCACACAGAAAAACCAGCAGCAATATTCAGGTTTCACAGGCTCAGCATACCTCATTACAGGGGACAAAGTTGGCCAACTGTTTGATCTTGAGGAGCTGATTCCTGCTGCAAGCCTCACACAACACACTGCGGCTGTCTTTGTAGGCATCTTCTGTCTGTACTGCCGTCATAGGATGGTTCATACTCTCATAATACTGGGACGGGATGGGCTTGTTGTAGTCACCATCCTGGCATGGAATGTAGTACAGAAATTCCATATTATTGTAATAAAACATATTTATTAAGGCTTCCTTTAGTATGAAAATGAAGAGCATAAAAAATTTTTAATAATTTTTAAATCTTTTTCCTCTCTCTCTCTCTTTCCCCCCCTCTCTCTCTCTCTCTCTCTCTCTCTCTCTCTCTCTCTCTCTCTCTCACACACACACACACACACACACACACCTGAGTCAGTAGAAGGTTACCTGAGCAAACCCGTTGTACTGTTCACAGTGAGGGCAGTCCCAGCAGTCCTTGTTCCCGTACGGCACTACTGTATCACGGCAACAAAACCAACAGTTGACACGGATGCTGAACTTGGGTCTGGAAATGAAATAAATGTACTGCATTATGACAAGGTGTAGAACCAATTCCCTCTCTCTCTTTATCTCAATTTTATTATCAACTGTAGTAGTAGTAGTAGTAGTAGTAGTAGTAGTAGTAGTAGTAGTAGTACACTTGATCTGGGACAGACTGGCAGATCTAATAATGGTTGAGTATTTTAATACAGTAAACTGATAAAGTAAAGAAAGTGATCTGTTGAATCACTCACAGCCCACTGGACTTCAAATATATACATTGTACATCTAGTACTAGTTAGTTGGCAACCCCTTGCCAGCTTTGTTTTTGCTTTCATGTTTTAATTTCAATTCAGTTCTTTTTTTAAAGGTATGTTTAATTCCAAATCAATAAAGAAATAATCTGGGTCTGATCAAGGAAGGTTCAAGCAATACCATTTGCACTAAACTATGTCCTATTGTGATTCACATACATCTTGGACATTGACAACTTTATTTTGTTATCATATAAAAGTGTATCACTTAAATGAAGCACTTGAATTAACAGTATAATTTTATTGGACTAAACAACTTTTAAAAAGTAGAAAAAACCCTCCAATTTTATAGAGTAATTACATTTTAATATGGTGACAACAATAAAGAACAAAAAGAGTAAATTATTTCAAACAATATAATGAATTAAAATCTTAATTTGAATGTGTACATACATTAAAATTAAAAGGCATCTGATCTCTGAACACAAAAATCCCTGTCTCTACACTGGAAATGAAACTTCGTGTGTCTTGCAATGGCTAAATTATGGAAAATATATTTTTAGGATTAGTCTGGACCTCTATCCACTATGTAAACCAGTCACGATATGGGATATTTTTCAACTGTTTATTGCAACTAACATTTAAATCTCGTAAATGAAATCATATCAAACCCTCAGAAACATGGTTTGTATGGAAGACCTTTCAACAATCCATTGCACGCTGTCGGTGCACCTCAAGTTCACCACAACTTCCCAAGACTAACTTGAATTCCAAGGCACAGTGATTTACCGGTAGACATAAAAAAAAACACTTACCTAATGACTCTGTATAAAATTGCACCAGCTGCTATTGCACTTGACGTTCCAGCAACTAAAGGCAAAACTGTAGTCATATTTTTCAATGAAATCAACTAGAAATAACCCCAAAAGTGTACGAACGTAAGGGGGTTCACGCTTTGTGACACACAGACAGACGCCATCTATCGACATCTCTCGAAAGAAAAGAGCAAACATTGATTTATTGCTAAATTGTTACATATAACATTTACAGTGTTATTATGAATACCTACGATATTTTTGCGATACATATATTTTATTTTATGTTGATTTTAGGTACATAGCTAGCAATTTCAATAGTTTTTAACCCCAATTAATAAACTTTGCCTTGGTTTGTCTTGGCAAAGGGCGTCTGCTTTTGAGAGTTAATGTGGTGCGTGGTTTTACGTGATTCTTCTCATGATTTGGTGGGCAACTCGTCCACGGAACTATTATGTGATGAAGAACCTGAAGAAACAACGAACATTAATCTGGCAGTTGAAGAATATGAGTTTATTGACCTTAACAATGATGCAACTGAACCACCCTCGCATCAAGATGTTCTGAATGGTGCTGTCGATACCGCAGACAATGCAGAAAGTCGCCAGCTCTGGGAGCAACCGAATATTGAAGTAGCACAGTATTTTCCGTGGAACAGGGTAGGAAATATGTTCATTTCTTTTCTAAATTAGCCCTTTTTCTGCCAGCCTTAGGATGACATAGAGCCAGAAAAAATCTCTACTAACGCAATCGTCAAAACTAGATCTTTGGAGAGGGTAACACAAAATTTATGCTGTAGCACACGGTCACCACATGTATTTATAAATTTTGACTTGCACTCAATAGCACATCCAGTACTAGTATACATACATTGTACCTGAAACGGTAATAAACTATGGAGGGGAAGCTATGCCCTGTAGCAAAGTTGTGTGTTGATGTTACATGTACATATAGGCTGATCACTTTACCAAAAATATCAGAACAATTTATAACATAAATATCGGCACAATAACAATAGCAACCATTTAACCCCAGTCGGTTTAAGTCGATGTATTGAGAAGTAAGCTCTTTTCTGACGCTATAGGCCTAACTAACCCTCTGACTGTCCAAGCTGGCTACACAGTGGCAGGGATGTAGTTGTTTAATGAATTCCATGATTTCAGGAGATTGAATTAACATAAAAAATAATCCTAATTTAGTAAAAATGACAATAAGTGTACGGAAAGTCACGCCTTTTCAATGCACCTTAATTTTTTATTTTGACATAGGCCTAACATTAAGTGCAGTTTTTGCCCCACGTTGTTGTGTCGTCCTATATATAAACTTGTAGTTGAAGTATTCTAGGTGTTTGCCTACACGTCTATTACCGTTCAGAGTGGTCACTCTGATTACACTCCAGATAAGATGTGCAGGGGAGGTGAACGGGTAAAATGCGTGCCGAAAGAGTGCAGCAAGTAAAATTACCCCAACAGCATTCAACGTGAAAATGACCAAGAAAATTCTTAATGTGATCAATACATTTTACCCTTCTCTGGGGTTTAGTTGTCTGTCTGTCTGTCAGCTGATAACTGTTTCATTTTTATTCAGTGAGACGCGCTTCATGCACACACACACACACAAACACACACGCACACATACACACAAGCAAAAGTTAAACTATATCTTTCGGCCAAAATGCAGGAATAGATCCCAAATGAACTGAAGAATTCAGTTTGCGCTTTACATGTACAACCACCCGCCTTCAGCCCCATACTATCACTGTAGGCTGTGAGAACGTCCTTATATACAGAACATCTGGTGTAACTTTTCTCAGGTAGAGGTTAGGACTACATATGTTTGATCAACATGTCTGTTTTCTCCTTGCAAACAGAAGCGACATATTTATCCGATAAAATAGAAAAAAACTGATACTGCAAGGTATCTGTCAGCAATGCAACTCAGCTATGCTAATCAAACTATGCCAGATTAAAAAAAGACGAGATCATTGATGAAAAAATTAATAAAAAGTAATAGTCGTGGGTTTCTCGATATTCGATCTTGTTTTATCTGAGTGTACGTGATAAGCGGTTATGATTCATGAACAAGTTCTCTCTCTCTCTCTCTCTCTCGCGCGCGCGCCCGCGCTTTCTCATTCTTTTCATAAACTGATTTTGAAAAACAAACACGTTTACATTCCAAAAGGCCAATTAATGTCGGCGACACGGACGTTCTACATTTCAAAGACAACGTTTTTGTCAAGACAACGTTTTAGGATCAAATGACCCTCCGTTAGCACGCATTGTATGCTAATCTACACGGTATGCGAGAAGGTTGGCGGTAGTTTTGGTATATCTTAACCCAATCACTTCACTTTCTATTAGTACCTCATTCATTTTAATTTTACGGGACAATCTCATGTTAGATAAAACAACAAATATGCAACGCTTAATGAACTGAGCGTTTTTTATTTGACAAAATTTGATTTTTTTTTTTCAATCAGTGTGATTGACATAACGTGATTGACATTAAGAGGAGCTGGCAGAATGTGTTACCACAGTTGATTTATGTCTTCTCATGCCGCTTACAGCAGCTCTGAACCCTGAAAACATGCAGCTCGCGATAACCTCGTCTTTGAAGCCGTTGTAGACATGGAGTCCACACCAATCACATTAAATAAGATGTGTTTCCCGATCAGCTGATCGAAATGATCAGCACATTAACTCGTGCACACGTTTCAAACACTCCTCAGTGAATTTTAGAGATAAAGGGTCTGTTTGCACAGTTTGGGACGCCTGCTGCATGAGAACTCGGTCAATTGACGGTGACAGTGAGGCGACTGCACGGCACAGAGCAACTGGCCGAGCTCTCTGAGCGCCTGATTATCGTTTCGAAGGGCTCTCCTTTTTTGAGGGAGACTTGTTCAGTTTTTCTTGGTGATAATTCGAGATCACGCTGAAGTTTTGCTATACACGATCACGTTTCTAAGCATAAAAGAGAAGGGCGATAGAAATAAGTGCTTCAACTTTGCACAGGGACGGCTTGGAGACTTTTTTTCAGTTGAGCAGTTAAGATTCAGAAAGTAATCTCTCTGTCACCGCCATGCCGTTAACGCTACCTGAGACCCTTGCTTCCAGCACCTACTCGTTAAACTATAAAGGCCCGGTGCAAACTGTCAGCTCAGCCTGGTCCATCCACTCCGCCCACAGGTCCAGGTCCCACTTGGAGTTACGGTCAAGAACGGATCTGTCTAAGGACGAGTATCATAAACTTGATGAAAAGATCGATGAACAGGCATCTGAAAGCTCTGGTGACACCTGGGGGCCAGGGGAGGTAGGTGAACTCAGCCAGCCCCCTCTCTCCTCTCTCTCTCTCTCTCTCTCTCTCTCTTTTGATCTTAATTATCACCCCCTATCACATCTATGTCATCTTCATTGATTTGTCATTCTGCTTATCCTTCTGAATTTTGAATTATTTAGTAGTTGGTAAAAATGGACTGAAAACAGAAATTAAAGGCTTGTGAAGGAGCATATCTCGGGCCTACATGTGACTGTAGGTCCCTGCATGTATCATATCAGTGCAGAGGCTGATTATCCTGAAATGATTTCTCCGTCTAGTCTGGGAAGTGTCGCAAACTGAATCGTTTACGTGTTCTCACGTCAGTTATTCCAGGACTTAACTAATTGTCGTTTAATTACTATCATGTTTGTTTGAAAAGAGAAATTGGTTATTGGAGTTGAGTCACAGAGTGTTCTTGTAGAAGAAGTCTGTCCAATGAATAAACTACCACGTGGTGGAGGGGCCTTGTATAAGTGTCACCTAGGATTGCGCAAGGACATAGCCCATGCTTTGTCCATGCTTTTTACAGAAGTATGTAAAAAAAAAGTGGTACTAGCTTCTGATAACCTCCAGAGATAACTGGGCAAGTGACCTAGTTTCTAAGGTATTTGGACAAAGGTTAAGCAAAAGAAATTATTCAACGCCAGCCTCGTTTGATTTGACTCTTTTCCAAGGTGACCACACCTGTTTGTTTAAATTGAGTAGCTTGATACAAGAAGATAGAATCCAGTTTGTACAAGTCATATTGTGCGACAAAAAGTATGTGCATTAAATTTTTTTTCAATCAAAGCAGAACTATCATGTGTAGTTAAAAGTGAGAAGCATATATATCGCGGTTTTTAATGCCAGAGACCGCTTGGGCTTGACCATAAGCATTATTATGGAAGTATTTTTGTGCACAGAAAACTTGCGTCAGCACAGAATTAAACGCGTGGTCTTAGCTGTCATGTGGAGAGAGACGACTTGCACTGAGCAAGCAGGCGCACTGTAAGCTAACATAGATAAGACCTCACTGGAAAGGCTACCGTTGATATAACCTTCATATATTTAACCTAGCTGTGTAAATTTACAACCAATCAGTTTACCATTTACATTTCGATAAATGAGCGTTATTATCCAACCCTATAATAGGCTATCAGATCATCAGTCTGGTGCTCAGTTTACATATGTAGGTGTCTTCATACGAGATAGATACTCGAGGTGCATTTTCCAGTTCTTTTTATGACGGGTGAATCAATTCTGTACTATATCACGGACACTGTGTTTACGGTGACTATCTCCCCCAACAGATAGGTTAGACTGGCTTCTTGTGGATAGGACCGTTTGATAAGATGGTGCGGAACTGTAAATGTTCATTTAGACACGAGGTGCACCGAGGCTTCTTATTAAAACCAACATAAATTCCATGGTTGTGTAAAAGGGAAAGTTGCACCCCCGCCAAAGCTATCCTCTCTTTTCTGTTTTTATTAGTGTCACATTCGTGTTTATTCTGTAATTTTCTTAGAGAAAAAAGGGGTTCATTGCATCCCATCACACCCTCTCTCTCTCTCTCTCTCAGCCCAACTCGTGGTCTGATTTTGCCACGTGATTGTTCGGCTCTGTTAACTGCACGCCTGATGAGAAATTAGTATGAAATTTAACCAAAGACTACAAGTCACTATTTCTATCACGCAGGGCAGATAACACTTGTACGCCGTCATCAAGAGCTAAGATGCATTTGTCTGAGTCTCGTTTTTCATCTTATTTTATCTTTCAAAGTATATCAAGTACATTACGTGAAGAATAATTTTTATCCAGTTAGACTAAACATTTATATAAGTGATTTACACGAGCCCAGCCTGTCCATTAAGGCTTCCATTCAATGCTGTAGAGAAGTGACGCGGGTACAGCCGTCGCATTTATTTCTTCCCAGCGTATTGTATCAGCCTGCTGAGAGGGACAAAAATTATAAATAGGGGTATTTCATATTGTTCATGTCACATGCTCCCGCCAGCTGTAATTAATGGTAATGACTTCACATCATGCTTCATGTCTCATAATAAAGTATTGCTGTCAGAAGTATCCAGACGTCATTTTTCTTGCTGCAATGATATTGCACTTGGTGAATGCAGGATATCGAAAAAAGGATACCCTTTTTTGTGAGTGATTGAGAGTCACTCCCGCCCCTCCCTTTGGAAACTAAGGTATACATGACTACCCCCCCCCCCCTTCGTACCTTCGCAGATATGTATCTGTACAGAATTTCTATTTATTTTATTTAGTGTGTGTGTGTGTGTGTGTGTGTGTGTGTGTGTGTATTTGTTGAGAGTGTGACACTGTATGGCGACACTTACTGCCGTAGACAATACGTCCTCGTATCTATATTTATATTATGTTATTATGTTGTTTTTGCTCGAGCAGGCCTTGGTTGTAAGATCATGCGGGCGGTATCCAACTAAATACGTTTTACATTTAGGGGCGAATTATTTCCGCGAAGAAATACTTCACGGAACGGGTTTTTAAGGGGCATTTCATACTTTTTTTTTCATTTATCAGTGTCGAGTTTTCCAGATAATTTTGTGAATTTCAGTGGCTCAATACCAAGGATAAACATTTTCATCTCCCATCAAATTTAAACTCAAAATTCTATTTCATTTTTACAATTATTTAAATTCAATCCTTCTGATATATCTTTGAGTCATAATAGGATTTTATTATTCTTATTCTTATATAATACAAACTAGGCCCGTACTACAGGGTGACCAGCAGGGTTGTTATCTAGAGGAAGAGTGAATATCAGAATGCTTTGTGTCTGATGGCACATCTATACCTCTAACGGATCCGGAATATTGGAACAACGTAATGATTTATGGTGAGGCCGATGTTTTATTTCCTATTGATCTCAATTTACATGAGTGCCTGGAGTTGGTGACAGTGTCAAATAGTGGATGTTATATTCACTGTGTGTTTTTTTTTTTCACTGTAGGTTTAGTTATAGGTAGCTACATGAAAACTAATCTTTCTCAAAATGAAGGAGCATTTGCATTTTTTTGTGTGACTAAAGTAAATTTACAGCATTCTGTGTACATGCAACCTGGTATTAAAACCATCATAAAGAGACGGTCATGTGTTTAACAGTTATCTCCTGTATCCTAAATGACCTTTTTTTATAGAAGCCATGTATTTTATTAAAACACATGGCACAAATGGATTACATGGATTAGAAAAATAACCGTCTTCAACCTGACGTCTTATCCATAGCCAAGTTCAACTCTCTTCTAAATCGAAAGTGACCGTGTTCATTCAGAAATGCGCATCCGATCTTCTCGTAGTATATACTATCATTATAGTGTCTTTGTACAGTTTTCTATTATTTGTCTAATATCTTAATTTAGAGAAAAATACGCACAATAATTAGAAACAAAAAAAAAGTTGTCAGCAAATTTAAAGCACAATAACAGTAAACTAGTGGGTACTAAAATAACATCGTAGTGTGCATTGGTATTTTAGGTATACCCATGAGCAAATAAAACTACAGTGCCTTATTTTGTTTCTACTTAGCACTCAGAAACAAACACGGTTTTATTCCCCCATTCCGCGTGCCTCGTACTGGTTGGTTGTCGTGTTCAGCATAATAATGATATAGTAAACATTTGTAACGATATACACGAGCAAGTGTGTGCGCGTTTTTAAATTCACTGCGCGCATTGACTTGGTTAAATAGAACAAATGATCTTAACGATTTACAGTTGTTTTTGTATACGTAAGCCTTGTTACACCACGGTGTTTTGATTGGTTCATGCGGCTAGCATGGAGGAGAGATCGATCGATACCGACGCATAATACACGCCGTATACTCTCTAATGAATACGGCCTTCAGTGCAAGCTGCATAATGTACTCTATGGCTGAGTAAGGTCGTGAAGGACGCCAGTGCTGGTTACACGGAGGAGTTGTATCTCGGTGGGGTTTGAAGGCAATTAAGACGGTATCTCAGGGTTCACGATGGAGGGTTCTGGTACAGATCCAGTGTTAACGGAAAGGTTGAAGGTATGTGATGGTTTGAGAGGTGACGTCTCTTCTCTGTGTTGACTTTCCAGCGTGCTGTGTAGGTAGATAGCTGTGTCATTGAGATTTAACCTTCCCAATGTTTTTAGCTCGACCTCTGTGAAAATACGTATTGTGTGGTATGTGCTGTCAACAGCCGCCGCTCCCGCCACGATATAACTGCCAGGCGGTTATGTCCTGATTAATACACACACCTGTAGTAAAACACCACAGTTAATAGTAAACCGATACTACACCAAACCTCTGTTGTACTAAGGTAAATATTTTATGGGTTTTCATGCTTGTGTATGGGCAAGGTACGTACTTGAGCTAAACACCGTACATGTTGAAGTATGGGTATGTGTAGTTGGTGACACAGTAAATTGCCGCTATTCTAGTTTTTTAAACACTGTTTTTACTCCATCCTGTTTAAACAGGATATAAAGTAGGACTTGACACTTTATGTTATTCCTTAGCCGTGCCCTTAAGCGGACGCTCGCCCGAAGCTCTAATCAATCGCATTAATCAAAATACAGTGGCAGTAGCTCAATCTGGCTTTCCTAGTCGGACCAGGAAGGTCGGACTCTGTTAATAAGTTCACTGTTCATAGGGTGCTAGTTCTCTCTGATCATAAGGTGCTAGAACCCTCTACCAGGGTGGCAGATATTATAGGCACATATTTCACATTTAGAAGATTGACCGTATTAAGCCAGATACATTATCTGTTAATATGTAGTGAAAATCAATCTGTTGCCCTGGTAAAGGGTAGGGCGCTCGTTTTCACTGTACATAGGGCGCTAGTTTTTAGAGGCATGCTCTCAACAGTCGCTGGAACTGAGGGTGGAGCAGCTAGACTTGCACAAGAAAGTCGCTGTTTTGTATTTAGTGAACTACCCTGAGGCCTGGAGTCTAATAAAACACATTTCTTTACACTGCATCCTGAGAGGACCTAGTTTCAATAGCGGTGGCG